GAAACGTTAACTCTGTTTTTTCCTTCACAGATGCTGCCAGACCTGCTGAGCTTTTCCAGTAACTTTGTTTTTGTTCCTGATTTACAGCATTCTCAGTTCTTTTGGTTTTTATTTTGCGAGGGGAATGGCTAGTTTTAAAACATAAGTACTGTTGCTGGAATTTTGTAAGGTCTCGCAGCCTTTAGAGTACCCGTCTTTTGATGTCATGTTGAGTGATACTTGGGATGACAGAAGGAGGCCGCAATGGATCTTTCTGACTAAAGATTGGATACAAGTACTTCAGCATTGTCTACTGCACTGAAGTGTTGAGGATGGAGATATTTTTGGAATTGCCTTCTCCTGTTAGTAGTTTAATTGCCAATCACCAATGGCTGTGGCAGGACCTCAACGCTTGGATCTGATTCATCTGTTGTAGGATAACCTCCTTTTGAAGAGAGCATTGTGTGATGCTGATTACTTCTGACTGATCCTGAAACCTCTGGGATCTTGCTTAATTCCTAAACCAGTTTTCAACAAACCAAACTTCACCCATTGTCTGGAATCATCTCTTGCACTGGTTATTGAGGCATTCCATGCAATTGTGCATGAATTTATTTAATATTTTGTTTGTGATTGGTGATTTTATTATACCATTAGAAAGTGGATAAATGTATTTCTGAAACAGAAAAACGAAAAATAGAATTCCACTCTAAACACGTCATGAATGAAAACAATTGGCTGTTAAGCAGTGTCCCTACTCATCAGGATTAGTGAAACTTCATGATGCCACATTGAGGAGTTTTACATAAAACATCTGCTCCCAAGGTGCTTTTAACTTGGAGTTTTATGTTTCATTTAGTATTTAAACAGATGTTGAATTATGTAGAATTTGAATCCAATGCCTATATTTTTGCTAACTTCTGAACACCACTCTGTTTTAACTATGACTTGTTTTTGGAATGAACAAAATTTAGAACGGTCTCTCCTCCTTTAGCCCTCCCACAGCTGACTTCTGCAGCAATTTTTCCGAAGTCAAACACGTGTACCCATGTGAGAGAAAGGATGCAGAATGGAGAGTTTGACGTCAGGAATATAAATCTGACGAGTCGCTTTTGTACATGAAGCAAAAGGGATTTGAAAACCTGCAGAAAGATGAATTTTGCTTCTTGCCTCTGCACCATTACCTCTGATGTCCTGCAAAGATCTATCCTTGACCCTTCCTGTTTGCTCTACATCCTTCACCTTCGTGTTATCGTCTAAAAAAGCAATGTTAGTTTTCACGTGCAGGCATTGAATTCCAATTCTGTCAACTCGCCCATTGAAATCAAATTATCAGACTGCTTGTTTGACATCATGTCTTTTATTATGGGGATAACTGAGCAGGGTGTCTTCAGTTCACACTGCAAGCTTTGCCCTCTAGCAAACACAGAAGATTCTGGACAATCTCAGCATTTTTGACAAGAGAAACAGAGTTAATGTTTCATGTCATAATCGTGGAGTTCTACAGCATGGAACCAGACTGTTCAGTCCAACTGGTCCACTCTGATCATGTTCCCAAACTAAAACAGTCTCGCCTGTGTTTGGCCCGTATCCCTCCAAACCTTTCTGATTCATGTACTTATCCAAATGTCCTTTAAATGTTGTAACTGTACTTGCATCCACCACATCCTCTGGCAGTTCATTCCATACATGATTCACTCTCAGTGTAATAAAGTTGCCCATCATATCTCTTTTAAATCTTTCTCTGCTCACCTTAAAAGTATGTCCCCTAATTTTGAACTCCCACACCATAGGGAAAAGATCTTTGCAGTTACCTTAACTATGCCTTATATGATTTTATAAACCTCTATAAGGTTACCCCTCAACCTCCCATGTTCCAGTGAAAATTGCCCCAGAACTGGTTTTTGAACTGTGGAAGAGGAAGGAGTTTGGCTGTTGATGCTACAGCATGAAGATTTGAAAGCTCCCTGCCTAATCTCCCTGTATCAGCTTCTGTAAGTTCAGAAAGTAGAAACTGAGTTATATGTAGCTAAAATTAACTAACCATCCAAGCTACAGTAGTCGAACCCACCACGAGAGATTGTTTTCACTGTCCTCAGCCATGGAAGTGATTCAATTGTCTACCTTTCGAATTAAACCCTACCAAAAAAGTTAATTGTATCAGAGAACTAGCAGGAATTAGTACTAGATTCTAAGGCAAGAGATTAATTCTTTAACTCCCACTTTTATCAAACTGCCACAATCTGCCTTAGTTCAAGACCTCAGCATAGTGAATTGTCTTTTGTTTCACTTAAACTGCACCATTTCAGAATGAAGAGAGAAGGACTCACATTTTTATAAAGACTTCCACTGCCGCATATCCCAAATCTTTATAACCATTGCAGTAGATTTGAAATGCAGTCACCTTCGACTGTGAAGGAAATATGATAGCTGATTTACACACAGGAATTCTCCATAAACAGGAATGTGATTATGACCTGATAACCTGTAGCGGTATTGGTGATTAAGTACTGCTATTTAAAATAGTGTTGTGGGATGTTTTATATTTACCTGAGACATCAGATGGAGGCCTCAATTTGACAAATCATCTGAAAGATGGCACGACTAACAGTGTAGCACTTCCCCAGTGATATACGGTGATGATCAGTTTATAGGGGACTGGTTACCTCACTCTCATCGATGGCTGGTATGTGATGGGCATGTGGTTCATGCATTGTTTGGTTCTTCTTCAAATTGAGATAGACTTAAGATTTGCCCCTTCCACTGAAAGTGGAAAATTAACTTGGGATGAAACTCTGGCAGGCAATGATCTAGGGACTGCCAAAAAAGGAGAATGCATACATAATTGAATGACTGATGAATGAATATACATTTTGCTTAAATATTTACTATGGGACTTGAACCAAAATTTATTTTGACTTTAAGGTGAGAGTATGATATACTGAGCCATGGCTGATGCTGAGTTTTGATCTTTTGTCAAGAGGCCTTTGGTTTCTCGTATCCAAATAATTAGTTCACTTTTATCGTGAGGTTACATGGTCACTCACAAGAGCTCCAATTGTCTTGTCTTTTTCTTGTTGCAATAGATCCCTTCTGATCATGTACCCTGTTCATTGCTCCTTTGCTAACAACGCTTTAGTGATGATTAAGTGAAGGGATTCTGACAGAGAGCCTTTTGGAGAGCTGAGCATGGAGTTGGATGGGGTTCAAGACCTTGCTGAGGAAAGGAAGGTTAGGTTGGGTCAGACGTGAAAAGGGATAAAGGGATTTTTGAAGAGGGGAGATAATGGAAGCTTGAAGGAGGGAGAATGCTGCCTCAGCAAAAGATTAGAAAATTTCCCTCTATTCATCCCATAACAAATGTCTAGCCCAGTGCTTCCCAATATTTTCCAATTTAAACATGCTTTAATGGCTGAGAATTAACATGAAGCAAAATGCCTGGAAAAAAACAATATAGCAGTAAAGTGAAATAGAGACATTGAGTACGTGATTATTTATGTTTGTGTGTTCTTTTAAAACTATACATCAAAATATGTAAAATATGGAAATCTATGTTTCAAAGCACTTTTTAAATATTATTTTGTGAACTTCTGCAGGTTTTAGCCAAACTCTCCATACTCACTGATGACAGATGATTATTGAAATCTCTCTAACCTTGTAGATGATTTGTAATCAGTCACTCTACCTCAGCATATACACTGACATACACACCATTCTTAGCAACACCCCTCTTTCTCCACATATACACACCAGCCTCTCTCGGCAGTACAAATCTGTACCCACCCATCCAGCCCAATCTGCAACTCCCATACACATGCACTCATCCGCCTCTTTCCCCTTTCCCCACTTTTGGTCTTGTTGCCTGTTAAGCAAAATCACTAGCCTGAAGTAATGAACAATCAGTCAGGAGCATAAGTGTAGTAAAGTTTGAACCGACCTTTCTGACTCGGCCATGTGAGCGCCTAGTTTTTCCATCACTCAGCCAGTAACTAATTTACACTTGCTGACCTCTGACTCCACCCAGTCAATGCAGAAAGACATTCTCACCATGTTGGTCTCTGAACCAGACCAAAAACAAGCAAATGTGCTGCTGGAAATGTTTGCTGAAATTTGTGCTTTAAGCTCGTGTCTATCCCATGTTGTTCGTGAAATTGATACAGTGGGTCCAGGATTGCTCCTGACAACCAGAGCCAGAATGTCAGAGCTAAATCATCCCTGTCCACAGTCAGCGTTGCTGTTCAGAGGAGGGACTACTTGCGACCCCAGATGTGGCCTCCCCATATCTCTGTCTCTCTCTTCTATTCTCCCCCAGCCCACCCTGCCAGTTGACCAACCCTGAGCCGATTATGATCTCTGACACACCTATGCACTCATTCAACCTCCCAGATCACCCACACCTCCCAATTGCCACATCATTGCCTGTCCACCTGTTGCTGTACCCACCCTACTCACTTAGCTCACTCACTTATCCACCTCATTTACTCAATCCTTGATTCATCCAATCACCCACATTCATCAATTCACTAGCCTTCACATGTTAACATGTCACCTTACCTTAGGGCTGCTAGTGCTACAGATAGGGCACATGTCCAGTTTTCCCTCTGATACTCCATCATTGCAGTGAAGGTTTTGATTGAAGATATGCTCTGCCTTTCTGAAGAACATGAGGTTGGAAGGTCCATCCAGAATAGCAGAGTCATGTTGTGGCTGGTGAAAGGCAGAGTGGAGCAGCAATCTGAAGATGATTATTGCTCCCTGAAGTTCCAGGCCTTTATGCATTTTCTCGTGGTTGCATATCATCAATTTCACTGGAACAAAGCCCCAGAACTATCCTTGTGTGTCCTTGGTAATATGCCTATTTTATTGTAACGCACACTGATTTGTACCAATTAACAGCATTATGTTAGACTTTCTTTAAAATATGGCAATTTGTCCTCCAGGGGGCTCAGCATCAAGGGACAGAGGCTAAGAAAGACTTCAAAAAGTGTTGCCTTTTTCAATTGGAGTTGTAAAATTCTGTGGATGTTGTTGAGGTGACCTCTATTAGTTAGACATACTATATCTTTGGCACAAGGACTATAAATATTTTTGTATTTTACCAGTGTTATTCTCTTTATAGCCTCATGACTCCTCTCTTTTCTAGTTTGAGTTCAAAGGCTTTCTTATTCATCATTCTTCTTGTCCAACTAATTTTCAGCATATGTCTGAACCTTTAGCACCATAACCTCCAATTTATGATAAATGCTTTTGGAGTAATGCACTAGTTCAGTTTCTGATCAGTCATAAGGTTAAATTTTACACAAACTATACTGAAAGTGGAGTTTATTCAAGTGATTAAGTTTTTTTTCCCAGCTGATATAACATTACCAGTAAATAAAACCAACACTTTCTTGTCTGGGTTTCAGACTGTTTAAGGTGGTTTCTTGAAAGTGCAAGCTCAGGTGATATGGCACCAATATAATTAGAGCATTTGCCATTTTTAACAAGTGTTTGTGTCATGTCTATTTGTGTTTGGTATCAATTCAGTTTGTATTCACATAATATTTCAACATTTTAAAGTTCAAGATACAATCTGCCTTAGGGCTGACCTCCTCCTTTTGTGCTTGTGCTGGGCTTTACTGATGGAGAGATTGATTTGAACATAGTGTTACAGCTGGTATTTCATCCCACTTAGAACAAAAAAAGCTTTCCTTTACATCATGCCTGATCATGACCTTGGGACATCCTAAAGTGATTTACTGCGAAGCAAGTACTCTGAAGTGTAATCACTGTTCTAGGATAGGGGATAGTCGATTTATACACAGCAAAATCCCACAAGCATCATTTTGACAATGGCAAGATGATCTGTTTCCAAATGATGTTGATTGAATGATAAATGTTGACTAGGATATTTGGGATATTTCTCCTATTTCTATTTGGTGCCACAGGATTGGTCATATTCATTTTGGAGAGTAGTTGGGACCTTGACAAGTTAGTGTAGTGGAAATGCTAATCTTGTTTTATGTACTTCATTTTATTCTTTGCTTCATAAACTTGTACAGCAAGGAATGCTACAATGCTGCCATCTGGGCCACCCTGAACAGAGTAGAACCAGGCCTGAACACTGAGGTAAAAATGCATCATTTTTGTGACTTGTGCTCAAAGACAAACAGCTGAAAGTTAGCCTGAAAATGTTTGTTGTTTTTGAATTGAGGAAATGCTCATTTTCCAGGTCTTGACACCATCATAATATTCAGCTTTTAGCTTTAGTTATGTTTTCATTTGGGCAAAATGGTGCTGCAGTGAAAATTTCAATTTCGAGGTAATATTTGTATAAGTTTACTTGGATTCAGTATTATCATTCAGCATTATAAACCGGGAAGGATGTATCATCTGTCGGGATGCTACTTATTGTTACTTCATGCAAGAACCAGAATAATAAAAATTTTTGGAGGATAGAATTAAATGTAAGAACATAAGAGCCATTTGACCCTTCAAGTCTGCTGTACTATTTCTTACAATCATGGCTGATCTGTTTCTGTTGTAAATTTCACATTCCTATTTATCCTCAATAACTTCTGATCTTTTCAGTGGCCACCTTGCCAAAACTGTTCAATGTCATACATGTTCCAGTGGAATCACCCCTCACTCAGCTGAACTTCAGCAACAACAAGTGCAGCCTTTCCTCAAAAGCCTCCTTTCAAACCTCACCTGAACCACATGCAATGCATTTACATCCTTCCTGAAATAAGGAGACCAAAACTGTCACAGTATCCAAACATGTTTTGTGTAACTGAAATATAGCATCCTTAATTTTTATGTTCATTTCCTGTCAGAGTAAAGGTTAGCATTCCATTAACTTTCCTGATTATGTGTGCACCTGCATACTAATTTTTTTTTTACTCGTGTACTCGAACACCTAGATTGCTTTGCAATTCAGAATCCACAGTTGTTCTCCATTTTAAGGAATACTTGACTTGTTCACTTTGACAAGAAGAATAAATAAGTTTAAATTTTCCCATATTATACTCATTTTGCCAGATTTTTGCTCACACACTCCACCTTTCTATATCAGTCTACATCCTTGCTATGTAATCTTTTCACAACACACCTTCTAAACTGTCTTTGCATCATTTCAAATCAAACCAATTCAGTCTTTAACCCCCTCATTGAAGTCATTGATATAAATGATAAGAAACTGAGTCCGCAGCACAGACCCCTGCAGGCCCCCCACATGTGACTTCCTGCCAATCTGGAAAAGACTCAGCCAATGTTCTATCTGTGCTAGCACATCACTCACTACATCAAGAGCTCCCACTTTGTGCAATAACCTTTTAGAATAACCCTATTGAGGTGAAATCTGTTCTATAAAAATACTATTTCATCTTATTGATATCTGTATTATGAATCAATAGTGAGTGGAGGGTTACGTTCTGCAATAAACCTTGAATTATTTAGCACCTTTAAGTACACAACTGTCCTAAGATGTTTTACAAGAAACTATATTGACACCACAGCAAAGAAGGACATATTTGAAGTAGTGACAAAAGCCTTATTATAACAGGGTTATGTTTTCAAGGTGAGCGGTTGGGAGGTTTGGGAGGGAAGGTAGGAGGGGGCAGTGGTGGCTGGTTGCTAATAAATACCTCAAGGTGATTAGTAAGAGCCAAAGTGCACGAGAGAATATCCAGACACTGTCAAAGAAGTAGCTTTCAAGGAATATTTTAAATAAGGAAATTGAAATAGATAGATTATGGAGTTTAGGGAAGGAATTGCAGAGCTTAGAGCCCAGGAAATAGGCGGCATGGACATCATTGGTGGAGAAATTAAAAACAGAGATGTCCAAGAGACTAGACCGGACGTGCAATTAACTCTAATGTTTTTTAATAAGCCCTTTTCTGAATGGCCCACAGGCGCTAGTGGATTACCACAGGGATCAGTGCTTAGACCCCAACTGTTCACAATACATATGAATGATTTAGATGAGGGAACTAATTGTAATATCTGAAAACCTGGAGATAACATGAAGCCAGGTGGGAGGGTCAACTGTGAGATGAATGCAGAGATGCTTCAGTGTGATTTGAACAAGTTGAGTGGGTGGGCAAATGCATGGCAGATGAAGTATATTGTTAAAAATGTGAAGTCATCCACTTTGCTGCAAAAACAGGTAGGCAGGTTGATTGTTGAATGGCGATAGATTGGGAAAGGCAGAAATACAACAAGACCTAGGTGTCCTTGTCCACCAGTTGCTGAAAGTAAGCATGCAAGTGCAGCAGGTGGTGAAAAAGGCAAATGGTATGTTTGCCTACATAGCGGGAGGATTTGAGTACAGGGGCAAGGATGAATTACTGCAATTGTACAGGGCACTGGGAAGATTGCACCTGGAGTATTGTGTGCAATTTTGGTCTCTTATCTGAGGAATGATGCTCTGGTAATAGAGGGAATGCAGTGGAAAATTTACAATACTGAATTCTGTGATAGCAGGAGTGACATGAGAACAAAGGTTGAATTGGTTAGGACAAGATTCACTGGAGTTTAGAAGAAAGAGGATGGATCTTCTAGAAACCTGAAATTCTGTCAGGACTGGATAAAATATTCCCAGTGACTGGGTTGTCTATAACACGGGTCACAGTCTAAAAATATGGGGGAGGCAACTTAGGACTGAGATGAGGAGAAATGTTTTCATCCAGAGACTGGTGAGCCTGTGGAATTTTCTGCCACAGAAAGCGGTTGAGGCCAAAATATTGAATGATTTTGAGAAGGAGTTGGAAATAGTTCTTAGTGCTACAGGAATCAAAGCGTATGGAGAGAAAGCAGGAACAGGGGACTGAGTTGGATGATCAGCCATGATCATATTGAATGGAGGAGTAGGACCAAAGGGCCAAATGGTCTACACCAGTTCCTCTTTTTTATGCTTCTACATGTTTAAGGCTGGAAGAGGTTGCAGAGATAGTGAGGGGCCAGATGATGGAAGACTTTGAAAACATGGATGAGAATTTTATGATTGGTTCCAGTGGCATAATATTTCAATTTTGTTATACATTCACAGGGATGAAAAGTGAAGGAGATATTGTGCAAGTTAGGTCACAGGCTTCAGAATTTTGGATAACCACAAGGTTATGGAAGGTAGAATATAGGAGGCTAGTCAGGAATGCATAATAGTGAAGTCTAGAGGTAGTAAGACACCAGGGTTGGAGAAATGTGGGTTTTGTGGAGAATTGCAAAGCTAGAGGAGGTGTTCGAGAAGGGGAGAGGTGAGACCATGAACTTGAACAGAGGATTTAAGGTATTTGGTGACCTCAAGCCAAAATAGATCAGAAAATTCAAAGACGAGCAGCCTTTGATGCAGTTTAGGATATGGATAACCGACCTTCACATAGAACTTGAGAGGCTAAGGAGAAGGCATAGCAGTAGTCTTTTCTTCTGGCTCTGAAAAAAGCATGGATAATGATTTTAGCAGCATAAAGACTGAGAATGGGGTATAAGTAAGTAGTCTTACACAGATGGAAGTTAGTGTCAAGATGGAGACAACATGGGTTCAGAAAATACTCTGAGCATGGATAGAATCAGTGGGAGTTGAGTGCAAATGCTGATGGGATTTTCAGTCTTTTCAGTGTTCACACGGAAGATTGTGGCTCTTTCAGAACTAGATGTTGGACAAGAAAGCTGATAGCACAGGCAAAGAAATGGCTGAGAGAGGTGGTATGGGCAGCTGATATTCTGTTTTACATGCAAATCCTGACTTCATATCTTTGGATGGTTGCACACCATTCATTAAGATGTCCCTAAATAAGATTCTCAATTTTTTTTATCATATGAACATGTACATTTGGAATAGGAGTACGCCACACAGCCATTCGAGCTTAT